GTAGTCAGCAGTACTCAAGAATGTGTAGGGGTAACTGGGAGCTTACTTGCGAAAAGTTCAGACCCTTGTCATTCGCTGTTGTTGTGCAGTGTCATCCGCTGTTGTTGTGCATTGTCGTTCTCTGTTGTTGTGCATTGTCATTGTCATCATGCATCGTCTGCTGGGGCTGATCCACATCAACTGCCAAAGACCTTCAACTGCAAGGGGGGAGATGACAAGAGGAACTCACCACCTCAGAACACCAAAGGTAATGAGAGACAACAGCGTCTGGTTCAAACAAATGTAAACCAATCCACTGTGTGCGTGGTGGATTTGTTTGTTCAAGTTGAAAGACGTCTGGATGGGCAACAATGCCAAATTGTGATGTATGCCAAGGATCATCTGAACCCCAGTGCAGGTTCAGATGATCCTTGGCACACGTCATAATTTGGCGTTATTTGCTCAATGCCTACTACCTATTTTACTAACTTTATATGTTTTTACAGGAACACGTAGGACTTAATGACACAAACATGTTAATGTCCAAATTGCTTCCATTTGTTTCTTGTGTCATAAGTACATATCTTACTTCTGTGTTGATTGTATGTATATTTCATCCATCTCTTGTGTTTTCTCTTACTAACTTTGTATGTCCTTACAAAATAGAATTTCACAACATGAATGAACGGCACAACACCAATGTACCTTTGCATCCACTGCTGTTGATGCTTATGCCCACTGCTGTCTCTACTTTTGTCACAGCCATCCTCTTGTAAGTATACCTTCTCCCTCTTCTTATTTTACTAAGCTCATATATCAGGAATAGAACTTCACACTGCATTATTTGCTCAGACATATATCTATGTTACTAATCTTATACATCTTTACAGGAATACATAGGACTTAACGATGCGAAGATGTTATTGTCCAAATTCCTTTCTGACATTGTATGTACATCCCTCCTTTTCTTGTGTCTTTTCTGAATCCCCTTCCCCCTCCAGCCAAGTCAAGGTGAGTGTGATCCATCAAAACAATTAACGATAGTGACTTACCTCTGACCACCAAGATCCGCCACCATCGTCACACAACCAACTGTGATTTATCTACACCAAGCCAACAGTGTTCAATACGAGGTATGACGATGGACATGACATATGCTTCAGAGGTCTATGACATGAGTAAGTCATTGAAAATGCATTGAGAGGTTTCATGAACACTTACTATGATTTGTACCATCAGCTGAATGTCAACAACCATAGGATGCGATGTATGCTCAGGAGGCATAGGACATAGGTAGGTAAGTCACCAGTGTTGGATTGAGACATTTTGTGAGCACTTACTGTGATTTTGTATAAGTGGTATCCAGTAAGTTGCAGCATTTCTTGTGAATACATTTATAGATGCTTTTTTCTTTTTGAGGACCAATTATGTAATTCATACTACTACAATGTATGTGATTATAATGCTTGCAGTTGTATATTATTTATCCATTTTATTTGGTGTAATTTGGAGTAGATATGACCACTTCAGTCACCCAGTGCCAACTGACTATTAGTCATGCAAACTCCACGTAAGTTACATGACTAAATGTCATAGACCATATCTATATTCTAGATATATATGGGTCCTAGAAAGCCCTGAAATCTAAAATATATTCTTGAGACATGGACCCTGAAATGTCACACAAAAATTATAATGTCTGTGTCACACCCCCAAAATATATTTTGCAAGTGAAATGCAGTAAGGATATATTTTTGGTGAGTGGACCCTGAAATGTCACTGTCACACCTTAGAAATATATTTTTGCCCTGGTTTGGCCTTAGGATATATTTTGTGAAGCAGATGTGGTAAGGATATATTTTTCTGGTCTGTAGGGGTGTCAGGGGTCCTAGTTTCAGCAAAAAACTTGTGATTTTTTTTGATGTCTCTGGTATATATTCTGGAAGATTGTGCAATGATTTCCACTATGTCTGGCTTGTGCTTCCAGTATGTAGGTAGCAATAAGGGCATCAATAGCATCTGTGATCTACTTGAGT